AACTTATATATTGTTGATACCACCATTGTCAAATTATCATGCTTTTCTCCTGTATGATACTTATATTTCTACATTGTTAAACTAATTTTTTTTAAATAAATTCTAGTTTGAATTTAATTTTCATTCACCTAAGCTATTTTCTATCGCAAAGTGTTACTACATAGTCAAAAAAACTAATCAACAATGAACAAGAGGGTTGTTTATTAAAAACTTCATTTCTTCGTCCAGTAAAATACTGGAATACTGTAAATTCCTTCTATGACTCGCATAATCATGACAAGGAGCACACGGCAGGTATGACCGGTCGGCAGGGGATGTCTACCTCTCCATGGCGCCTGATCCTACCTCCGATGTCTTGGAAGTCCGTGTTTCCTCTGCTCCTATTTTATATTGTTTAATGGATTTTTCATCTTAAAACTGTTCGTTATCTCCAAATGTTTCATCAGACATGTATAAGTCGGACAGAGTTTTGGACCAAAATCGAGCTCCCAAGTATATTTGGTAATTTCAAAAATCTTTTAGCCCTGATAAATGTATGGATTTTTTGGAAATGGAATACAATGGTAATGATATCACCTGTATATTTCAAACTCATGCCAATGTACCACGTGCTGATATGATAGCCATTTGGACTGATATGTCATATGATATGGATTTGAGTAAATAATATTCACTATTTAATTAATCTATGGTAGATGCAATGACCTTGTCAGTAAATACAATTTATCAATGAGTCAAATGCTGACTGATTTTTTTTTTTACATTTTACAAATATATTAGGTTTGAAGTAAAAAGCATAACAAAAGGAATTGTGATTAACATGCTTTATATATTTTGAAATGAAATAAATACATAGACATGTATAACAAATTAATATCCTGCAATTTTGTCCGTTTATGTGATTGATTGATTGACTGTATATTGTTTAATGTCCCTATAAACCTGTATAAACCGAGGTCCAGTGTCGCAGTAGGTTCTTGCACGAAAACAATCCCTCCCTGCTCAATGGCCCTAAGTGCCCAGTATTGGACAAAATTTGCTACTCTTCATCTGCAAGCGGTGGCGTCTCCATATGAGTAAAAATTCTTCAAAGGGACGTTAAACAACAAATAAACAATCACACTTTACTTTTTAATGCCTTTTGCATAACAACGTTTTGTATACACAATATATATGTAATATATTAATAATAATAGAAATCAGATACAGTCCACAAGCGGATAATCTACAAGAAAACAATATATTTGTACAAAATTAGCAAAATAAAAAAAAAAACTACAACTTTGGATCACAAGATCACCACTTCGCTTCATGCTATGAAAATAAACTTTCTGAGATAACATCTATAGATACCCAGCACTGTCTTTAAAGATGTAAGGATTTTTAAATTTTAAATACTAAGGATTTTATAAATTTGTGCATCGGTGTTAAATTGTCAATTTTTTTTTAGATCAAGAATATCTTATTTCCGTATGTTATGTTGCATAATCTGAAAATGTGTGAAATTGCAACTTCAGCATCTTTTATTAATTATAAAATCAAACAAATTAGTTTTTGTTAATAAATAACTGCATTTGTACTGATATACTTATATTTGATTGAACATCAAATTAAGCTCAAAGGACTCCACTTTTAATGTCACTCGTGGACTAAATCTATTTGTACTTAGTCAATGAGCGACATAAAATATGAAGTCCTTGGAGCTGGAATTGATGTTCAGTCTTGTTTATTGCTGCAGTCGAATGTATTATATGAAGAAATCGGCCCATTTACTTTTATCAATTTGACTACTTTTTATTATTTAACAAGTCCGTCTTCTTGCTGCTAATACTTTAATTGTATAATTGGTTCCATATTCTTTTTGCTTGCCATTTGATTCTTACATTAAGTGCATTTTACCTTATTTTGTTTTTTAAAAAAATTGCTTATGGTACGAGCGTCTGCTCTTGGGTCGTTAGTAAGGAGTTGATACTAACGTAGCGGATTCGAATCCCAATATGGGTCATTCCCTCGGATGAGACTATATAAACTGAAGTCCCATGTCGCAATAGGTGCTGGCACAAAAAAATACCTCCCTGCTCAATGGCTCTGAGTACCGAATATTAAACAAAAAATACCGGCAAGTAGTGCGGTTCTCCATATGAGTAAAAAATTCTCGAGAGGGACGTTAAACAACATTAAAAACATAAAGGAAACCACTTACAAAAAATGCATAGCTCTGACCAACTGCAGTGGAGTGACTGGGTAATACTCAGAGGAAGAGGATGTTTCCCTCTCTGGGTAGTTTCTATTCAGTACATATCAATGTTTCTCTTCATGGTTGTAAAATCTTGACTTTGCAAGATGCATGCACACTCAAATTTTAAAAACAAAAATTCATTATCAGTAGTAAGAAATTCAAACACAATTAAAAAAAAATCCAAAAATACTTCACAAGAGCCTTTTTGTCTACAGCGAGAGCTCCCAAAAATAATGCAGACTGAAGCGTCTTTTCATATTTATCTAAAGCCTAAAAAAAATTGAGATCTGCGCTCTGAAAGTTTCACTTTGACTCGCATAGATGAAAATTTCAATTGGTTTACTAACTGCAAAGATGAAGTAGACGTAAATATATATCAGAAACACCGAGGAATGGAGGAAAGCATCAGCCATGGCTTTTGATGTTACAAACAGATAAATTCTCAAAATAACAATTGGAAGCTCTTGCAAAACAAAAGCACTCCCGAAAAGCATATTGACTTTAAGTAAACGCAGATATTTGATTTTGCAATTTGCTCTACCAGCAATTAACACTTCTAAAGCTTTTATCTGTTTTTTCATTACAATATATAACGTAATAACACTTCCACTGTTGATAACAATAGGCAGAAATGTAAAATAGAATACATTACTTATCAAACTCATATTTTCTACGTTTAAAATAAAATTCCATGTGTCTTCTCTACGGTAAAAATCAGCTTTACAAGCATTGATAATTTTTAAAGGATGTCCTGGAGAAAATTCCTGTACAGTTCGAACAGGTTCTAGTGGCAAGCTGAATGGAACGATAAATTGTAAACTACAAAAAGTAACATGAATGAAAAACCAAAAAGAAATTAATATAATAAATCTGCCATAATAAAATTTGAATTTTATTGGAAATACGAATAAAAGGGCTTGAGTAAATGTTGAAAGACATTTAAGATGGAGGGATGTTGAATGAATTACTTGTAAAACAACAGTAGAAATAATCATGAATCTACAAATCCTGTATTCTATGAATCCATAATTCATGTCCATGTATTCTAAAATTCCATCACGGAATCCCATAAACACCGTATATAGAACATCAACAGACATTAAAAGAATCAGAAACCTTTGAGCCGTGCCAAAAAGTTTTCCGTTGTAAAATATTTTCCACATGAAAATAGTTGAAAATAATGGCAATATCCATAAATAAGGTGATACTGATGAAGAAAATTCCAAACCAAATGTTCCATAAATAGTTGAAAATTTGAAGACCTGGTGGAATTCCATGTTGTCGTTGACCATGTTAATGAGTAAATTGTGCACTTTTGTAGCGGCATTATTGCTAGGTTTCTCCATCGTGTCTCTCTTTTAGTTGAGAAATCAATGTATACACTTCTGTCCTTTTCTTTATATAGTAAGTGATTTGACGATTTTAAGATCATTAGCACACTTTGATATAGAATGACATTTGATACTGTGTCAGTTTGTCAGTTTTTCAGACTGTGCATGCCTAGTTGACCATCCTACACAGATTAGACGTCTGACCAAAAGTTTATGACACTTCTTATATAAATATATGGAGATAACAAACAGTATTCAATATCAAAGTCCATAAAACAATACAAAATAGGTGCAGAGCAAACAGAGACCTCCAAAACATCAGAGGTGGAATCGGTAGACATGGAGGAGTGATCTTCCCCTGCTGACCGGTCACACCCGCCGAGTGCTCCTTGTCATAATCGGGAAATAACCGAAAAATCAAGTACAAGTTTATAAAGGAGTCTAAAATCTCCACTGCAGTCATCATTTGCTGCCAATAAAAGCTTTACTTCGCACATTGAAATTTATATTGTAATTTTTAAGACATAAGATTCAATTTTCAAATCATAACACTCAGGGTTAGGTTCGGGTCACAAGAAGTGTTTAAAGTTGTATAGTGTACGTAGAGGATTCATTGAAAAAAAACCTTTAAATATCTTCTTAAGATCAGCAAAGCCATGGGTGGTCATGGTTCCATGGAAGCCTCCTCGGGTACTTTAGATTGAAATTTGTTTCAATCATGACCCCGGAGATAGGGGCGGGGCCACAATAGGCAATCAGAGTTTTAGACAGAAGTAAACAAGAAAAAAAATCTCAAAAACAGCAAAGAAATTTATATAGAATCATTATCAGTTAGTGTACAATCAAGTGCGTTCAAATCATGACCCCAGGGGTATTGTATAGACACAATGAGCCATCATTTTTTTAACTGGAATACACAGGGAAAATCTTTGAAAACCTTTTCAAGAACATCAAATCCGTTATAAGATGTTATAACTTAATAGAATCATCGTCAGAAATGAAGATTCACTTTGCGGAAGATAACAGAGAACCAAAGTTATACAAATTGGTAGAAAGGATATACATTGTATATGTATTTTTTGCACAAAAACTTAAATAGTAAATCAAACGTATAGGAAAAATAATTGAAAAATCTTCTAACGCCAAGAATACACGTGTATGGAAGCATTCTTAGATAGATACATGTAGGGTCGAAATTTGTAAACACGCTTTTATTACACACTGTACTTCAATAAAAAAAAATTCTAACAACATATAAATAAATTTATAAACTGATATTATTTTCTACATTGAGTGTTAGACGCAGGTGTCGTGATTTACTATCATTATTGTGTTTGATTTTATCAGATAGCAAATAGGTAAAATGATGTATATATTTATTTGCAGGTATATAAACTTATATACTCTTGATATCAATATGTCCCATAATCATGCTTTATACTTGTATGTTACTTACATTTCTACATGCTATCTCTGGATATGGTATGAAGCTTTTTTTATTATTTTTAATCGTAGTGTAAGTTTTCATTCCACATAATTTGTTTTTCTTTAGTAAATGACACTTTCATGTCTGAGGAGGTGCTATGTTTGCTTGTTTTATGTGTGTAGGTATGTGTTGGTGTGCGGGGTTGGGTATGGGTATTTTTCTTTTTTGCATTTGCTCAAAGTGCTGCTTCTAGCGAGAAACAACACTTCAAAATTACTCCTCATAGTAAAAAAAAAATATGGTTATATTTAAATTTTATTCAAATGCAAATCTTCAAAATAAATTATTGGCGAAAGGAAAAACTAGATATTTTAAAAAGTATGTCATTGTATAAAATATGTATAGACTGATAGCTTATTATCCAAAATTCGTTTTCGTTTTCAGAAAACATTGCTTTGAATAAACCTACACACCAATCACATGAATATATCTATAAGAAGTATGGGACAGCACCATTCGACTCCAGCAATGCCGTAGACGGTCTGAAGACTGATCTTTCAGCTTTTGGAGGTCAATGTGTGATATCCGGAAATGGATACAACACCGCCACCTGGTGGGTAAACCTGACGTCAATCCAAAGCATTCATGATATCCGGATATACTATAGGACTGACAATACACCATGGGGTATTTAGATTTTTATTTTTTATTAAGAACATACGCAAGGTACCTTATCAACTGATGATTTTTCAAGATATTCTTAATTTAAGATTAAAGTGCCATCAGATGTTCATAGACAAAAAATCAGCATGCATTACCCGTGGTATTTGAAAGATACCAAATTGTGAAAAATTTTGCATTATTCAAAGAAAAATATACAAAAATTACAAAATATAATTTCCAGATTTTTTTTTCATCAAAATTCGTTTTAAAAGGTACAAATCCATATATATACATTAAAAAGCCAAATGGTTATTCGTAAGAAGGGGCGTTATGAGAGAGAATTTTCAATATAAAATGAAGAGTTTCTTGTTAATTTTTGGGACTGAACAAATATTCAATTTCAAAAAATGCTAAATCTTTTCAGATTCCTTGAATGGTTTTGCTACAAGATTTTTAGGATTTTATGTTTATGTTTCTAACACAACGAACAAAGTGGATGGTGAATTATGTTTTCATGACACAAACTACAGTAGAGCCACGATTCCAGCCGTCCTCGACATACCGTGTCTCGTACATGGGCAGTACGTCATTTACTACAACGAGAGGCCTCAGAATTCGTCATATTCCAGTCAATATTCGCCAGATGCACACAATGAACTATGTGAAGTTGAGGTCAATGGTATGATTCAGTTTTTCAATAGTCAATGAAATATATAGAGATAACGAATAGAATTAAGCTGAAAAGTCCATCAAACAATACAAAAAATGGGAGCAGAGCAAACATATGGACCTCTAATACATCAGAGGTGGGATCAGGTGCTATGGAGCATGGAGCATACCCGGCAGATAGGATGATATTGCTCCTTTCAGGCAACAGAAACGTGACCGAAAAGTCTGGAAAGGTGTCTGAATGGTGTAGATCTTTCAAGCAGTCGCCTTTCAGTTAGCCTTCAGTCACTTTTTAGTAAACTAAATGACAAGTGATTTATCCTACGTAACTTTTCTTACTGATGTATCAATATTCCAATATAATCTACACTTATAGTGTTTATGGTCTACCAACTGAAATATACTCAAAAAGCATGCCCCGAGTACGAATAAATGTAAACGAGGCAAGCTACTGATAAAGCTGATGTTACAAGAATATAAAACGTCGTTAAGCAAAGTCAATTTTTCGGAAATTCACGGTCATTATAAAGACTTTTTTTTGTAAATAAACTATCTTTAAGGAGTTTTGTTTGAAGTGTTTTATACCAGGTACATGTAAATGTTCTTTCTCTCTCCTGTTTTGGGGGTGAGGGGTGGGGGTGTTATTATGAATTTGACTACGGAGTACGGCATATATATACTTGATTAATACAAGGGGCAAACAGTGGGTGTGACCGGTTAATTTGGAATTCTTAATCTTCTTTATATATAATTCCTGTCCACCTCTGGTTTTTCCAGTGGTCCATGTTCATGATTTTGTTTCTGGATATATATAAGAATGGCACCTTTTTTCTACATATTAACCTTAAATCTCTAAAAAAAAATACAATGAAAATTAATTTTCCTCATAAATTTTCTAAATTACGATTACCCCATAAACTTAGAGAAAATTAGAAGTATTGGACACTTTTTTTTTATTTCTCAAAAATCAATTCAAACATTAGAAAAGCTACGGCCATCCAAATTAAATTTATAGATATACAAGTCTTCAATTGAAAACAGTTTAGCATTTACTAAAATAGGGGGAAAAGTTCAAGAAATAGAATTCTCTTGTATTGAATCGTATACTCCATTCATTTCAGGTTGCAATAAAACAGGGTATTATGGACCGACCTGCTCTATCCCCTGTCGAAGGAATTGTTGTTATTGTCACATAGAGACGGGGGCTTGTCAAGGATGTAAACCTGGATATAAGGGACATAACTGTGAAATACGTAAGTGAACAGACAGGTGCATACCAAGGTCAAACCTTGTGTAAAAGTGACGTCACTACAAATTACGTATTTAAACAGACAGGTGAATGCTTTAGGTCTATGGTCAAACATAGTAAAAATTGTAAAGATATCTATGGCACGCACAAAAATGAGCTAAGTAAATCATAGTTTCGCAGTTGATAAATTAGGTTAATCGACTGTAAACTACGAGGGCTGTTCAAAAAATAATGTCCTCGGTGCTCGGAAAGAAGCAAAAGACGCTTTTCAATGATTTAGTCTTCATAATTTAACTTATTAATCTCTTTTGATTAAAACACATGTCCATAACATTTTTTATCCAATTTCTAATTGCTTTTAAAACTCATTTTTGGGTATGACCCTTAGTATACTGGAAAATGGCAGATCCAATGATTTCCTGGACTTGTTTCTTCCTTCTGAAAAGGTGTTTTTTCAAGTTTGGAAATAGAAACAAGTCAAAAGGTCAATGATCTGGCGAATATTGTTAATGTGAAAGAATATTAACTTTCTGTTTATCCCGAAAACAACTTTACTCTTCAGAACGTGCGGGTTTTGGACGCTGTCATGAAGAAAATTAATGTAGTGGATTCCTGATTCTGGGTCCTTCCTCTAATAAATCTTTCGATTTTTTTGCAAAAAAAAAATTCTTTCTAGACTCCTCCAGAAATTAAACTGTCTCCCCGAATACGAATTTGAGCAATAATACCACTAATATTTAAGAAAATTGCATATAAATCTGTCTTTGTACTCTTGCAATTCTTTGCTCTTTTCAGACCTTTGCTGTTTTTATCAAGTACATCTTATGGTAAATTTTGTTTTGAGGAGTTTAAGTAATAGATATGTTCCATTAGCTGTTTAAACGTGGATAACTACAATTACTGATATTTTAAAATAATTGTAAAGACATTCGCTGTCGTTTTCATTCATTTTTTCAAAATATAGGGTAACTTTCAGTACTAAGCTTTTCTACCGTCAAACGTTTCTTAAAAACAGTGTAAACTACTCCCGAAATTATGTCTATCAAATTCCATATTTTGTGACGGTGTCGAGATACCTACATTTGAAATTATTGTTATAATTCACGAAAATAAATCAAAATCGCTAAAATTAAATTTTGCTAAAAATCAACTCATGCGGTACATGTATTTAAGGAGCAATAAAATTTAAACTTTGAAATTTTAATACCAGAGTGTAATGGAGGGTGGTATGGTCAGGACTGCGCCCATAAATGTGGTGCCTGTTTTGGTGGTGACAGACAATGCCACCACGTGAGTGGTACCTGTGTGGAGGGGTGCGCAGCTGGCTTTCAAGGGCAGCTTTGTAAAACGAGTACGTCACGAAGAAATTTATACCATTATATACAGCGTATTACAGAGGAAAATATTTAACAGTACTTATTGTTAAAGATCATTTCTTTGTCAAATAAGATAAAACAGAGACCATGTAATTTCCATTTGAAAACCTCAATTATAGCAGCAATTTTATTTTTATGGTGCACAACTAAATAAAAAAAAAGAGGGAAGACATTTTTGTCGATTGAAAGGTAGACAAATATAATCCAAAATGATGTGCTATTTCTTTTAATTATTTTTAAGAATGTTTGCCGGGGACATTTGATAGAAACTGTAAAGGGAATTGCTCTCAAAATTGTCGAATACCTGGACAATGTTATGCAAGAACGGGGGCGTGTAAAGGGGGATGCCAGCCCGGATGGGAGGGGCCACAATGTGAAACGGGTAAGAGTTTTGATATATAAAAAAAATAATTAATATAATGGTGCTTTTTTTTTTACTTCTCATTTGTTCATTTTATAACTTTTTTCCATTCCATATAGTTTGCATAGGAAGGTACGGTGAGAAGTGTTCCCAGGTGTGTAAATTTTGTCGGAATTCTGCTTGTGATCCTGTGGATGGATTCTGTTCACAGGGATGTACCAAGGGTTATCAGGGACCTCTCTGCAATGAAGGTAGCTTATCCATTTTACTAAATGTACGAAATATCTGTGTTCAGTGCTAAAACATATGGAGTTAACGAACAGTATTTAAGATCATTAAAGTCCCTAAAACAATTACAAAATCGGAGCAGAGCGAACAAGGGCCTCCAAAACATCAGAGGTGGGATCAGGTGCCATGGAGGAGTGAGCATTCCCTGCCGACCGGTCACACCCGCCGTGTGTTCCTTGTTGTGATCGGGTAATAATGGAAAAAATCCTTCGTCAATTAAGTGTATAAATAATAGACTACTAATTAGTATGAAAAACGTCAGTCTCAGTTATGTTCAAGTAAGAAAGTCTCTATAAGAACATACGATATAATTTGTAATCAATATCTTACAAATTCACGTCTAATGTATTTATTATTGTTTTATTTCATTTCTTTCTCTTTTTGTTATTTAAGTTACTTCAATTTATTTTCGTGACGTCCAGTTTGTTCTTAAAATCATTTACGTTTTTTTAAAGTTATCTTTCTGACACAATGTTTGTTTTAGTATGTAATGCAGGATTTTATGGCAATAACTGTAAAAGAGAGTGCAGCCTCTTCTGCAAGACATCACGTGACTGCCATCACGTGACCGGATATTGTAAAGACGGTTGTATAGGAGGGTGGCGGGGTGCACAGTGCTTACAAAGTATGTATCTTATCCTATTGATACAAACGATTTTATAGGAACACATTTTTTTGAAATATGTATTAAAAGCATTGTACATTGCAAAGTTTATAGTGGCAGTTAATGATTTACATTTTTCAATTGCACTGCAGTGTAATGCGGGGATGGGGTCAATTACTTTAAAAAGTAATTAATTAAATTACAATTACTTTGACGTTTTCTTCAATTAAATTACAATTAAATTACAGGCTTTCTAAGACATGTAAATAATTAAATTACAATTACTTTACAAAAGTACTTAATTAAATGACAAATTACATTTTAATTTTTTTTTTTAAACTTGTCAATGTATATACAGTACAGGGGTCATTCATTTCATGTGTATGTAAATGCAGCATTTACACAAACAATACAAGAAATAATGCCATAGGCATTGTTTATCTTTGTGGTTTAAATTATTACTTTTATTAATAAAACATTAAAGAACTATTCGATATCAGTCAAATAAGTCGCAATTGTAACCCCTCAAATTAACTATTTCTTTTGAAGAACATCCTAAATTGCTATTTTTGTTGAACATTTTTACTTCATAAATAATACTTGTACAGGACATACCTTTTTCAGATACAAAATTCATTCATAGAATTCTGTTAAGGTGTTAAAATGATTATCAAATTGAAAGTTTTTCTTTTCTCAAACTAGCGGAGCATTTGTAATTGATATAATTATCTCCATGCAGTGGCATCATGGAATGAATACCTCTTTAGAGGACTTGATTTGTTTTGATTGCAATTTACAGCTGTGACCAGGAGGGTAATTATCTCTTACCAACAAAAAAGAACTTGGTTAATGACACACATTCATTTTCTCTTTTTCTTTTTGACACACTCACATTCTTATTCTTCATTGACAAAACATCAAACTTATGATTGAAATATAATGACTGTGTGTTTCATAAATGAATAGACCTAAGAAGGGTGGTGCAAAATTCAGATAAAAGTAAAACAAAATTCACCTTTTATATAACGATTAGAAAGAGAGTAGATAATTATTAAAAAATGATTTGTCTTATGTATAAATGAAGAATTGGGGATATGTTTTGCAATAAAATAAAAGACAGTAAAATGGGGAGACGGTGGTGGTGACAACATATCATGAATACAAGTGTATTATATAAAGTACTTGAATGTAATTGAAAAATTAAGTAATTGAATTTACATGGTATTTCTTCAGTGTAATTAATTAAAATACAATTACAAGTAATTGAAAAAATGTTCAATTACAAATTACTTCCAATTACTCCCCAAAATATAATTAATTACATTCAATTAGTTTTTTAAAATTACCCCATTCCTGGTGTAATGTAATATGTAATGATTTTCTGCAGTTGAAGAAACAGGAAAATGGCATTCAAGATTTAATGGTGTTCTCGCAGCCCTGTGTATAAGCATAGGAACGATCTTGGGATTAATATTCTACATATATATAATTAAGTAGGTTTATAGTTTTATATGTCTTATAATAAAATTTAAATCATTTTACCATCTGATCCATTTTATTCTATTTCTGGCGATATACATGTAGATAAAACGTTTTTCTTAGATAAAAATTTTGACAATTTTCTTTAAATTCTGTAAAAATATAGTAAATAGAAAAGTTTGATTTCAGTTGATTAAAAATATTTGTTATAAGTATTTGAAAACTTTATTGTAAAGCTTATCTCATTTGATTTTTTTTTTACTTTTCTGCAGAAAAAGGTACCGTAAAAGAATAAGAGAGCAAAATACTTCATCTAATGCGGGACCTGTCAACATTATTTCTGGTGAATCTGGCGAAGTTGGGGAAGATACAAGAAAAAACTACTTGTATCATAAGCTTGCCCAGTCGCCCTTTTTATCAGATTTATAAATGCTGCCATTCTTCTCAATCAAATGTGTCCCAATGTAAAAAGTGTTATTTTATTATTGAAAACTTTATTATGTATATCAGAGACATACAACATGACAAAAATATCGAAACTTGTAAGGAGCACACGGCGGATGTGACTGGTCGGCAAGGGATACTCACTCCTCCATGGAACCTAGTCCCAACATTGAAATTTGGAAGGTCCATGTTTGTTCTGCTCCTATTTTTTATTGTTTTATGGGCTTCTGAGCTTGAATACTGTTCGTTATCTCCATTTATATAATATATATAATTAAAAGTGTACTGTTATCTATCTATATGCTCGTAAAATTTAACAGTAGTGCAAAAGGTAATCAAAAATAAGAAAATCATACAAAGTAGTTTCATAATATACTCAAAGTATTCCTTGTTAATCTTTACATATGTGTTTTAAGATTTTGAACCATGACCAGATAACCTCAGTATACTCATTTCTACATGTAAGGATCCCTCAACATACATCGATAAAATGCACTTCCCAAGACAAAATGAATAAGCCTCCTTTTAATTCTATTATAGCGTTTAGGAATTAAAAAAAATCCACAATGAATGAGATCTAGTGAATATGGACATAGCTAAACTCTCCTTTCTTTATTCAAATGTTCTCCATTTTTAAAAATGTTTATTTGCTCAACGTTGTCATGTACTAGAAAATTACCCTCGGGAGCGGTAATTGGACTTTCCTTATGGTAAAAAAATGCTTAACATTCCTTGATACAAATTTATCTAAAGTAACCAATAAAGATTATTTCTGAGGATTTAGGTCCATATCTTACAACATCTTTTGAGTAAAAAGAAACACCAAGTTAGGAGTCTGCGACTCTGTGCAATCATAGGTCGACAACTTTTTCGAGACTTCTGATTCCAAATATTATTTTTGATGTCCTTTTAAACTATAATAAGTTAAAACAAGTTTTTCCATCCATCACCAAAGTTTATCAAATATTCTTTTTATGCGTTATATTAAGGACAGATGATATAAACATTTTTTTTTTCTTAGGAGACTTAATATCACGTCACAAGTTTAGAAAAGTGGATAATTTTTAGAATTATCTTCTTGGTGCTAAAAGTGTAATATAAACTTTAAGAAAATATACCAAGCCAGGTAAATATTATGAGGAAAAGCAAAATGACAAGAAATCAGTAATATCACATAGGCTGGTTTTTACCATTTTGCTTTTCCTAATAAAATTCACCTGGCTAGGTATATTTTTCTAAAGTGTATATTACTTTTTAAGCACCAGGGTACCATATTCCGAAATTTGGTCATAACAATTTGAATTCCGAAGTGTTAAAGACTAATCCCTCCATCTTTCAAAACTATATAAGTTTTTTCAACAATTTTCGACCATTATAAGAAGCGTGTAGGTATGCTTTTTGAATAACCCTCATATTCTTTTAAAATCTTTTACAATTTCATAATTCACAATGAAAAGAGAGCTTCATTAAGAAATTTACAGCTTTTAACAGTAAAATACAATTTCATGCGATTTCATAGTCATTATCACTATTACGTTATCTTCACTTTAAATATGCACATGTAATTGCAAAAACACAAATTACAAGGGTCATTCAATAAGCATTGTATTATACTGCTTATCATAATAATGTACAATTATTTAATTGTATTTTTTCACAGTTAAAAAGTTCTATTAAGGAAAAGGGTCTCTTAAAAAAATGTTTTAACAATATAGAAGATTTGATAAACTTGCTTGTTGGATGACGAAACATTGATGCACTTTATTTTTAGCCGAAAAGGTTAGATGAATAAAAAACGTGGAATCAAAGAAAAAGGAATCATATTGTGGCAAAGAAACGCAAGGGTTCCAAATAATTTTTTTTGTTGTTTTCATGTACTTCAAGAGGTCCATAAATCATGTATTGGACGAACATCGTAGGTTTAGATAGGCATTTGATATTTATCCCTTCTTGGTTATTAAAAAAAAGTTTCACCTTTCTGAATATATTTTTGTTTTCATGCAAGATGACGGAAATTGCAATGAGTGACCTGATAAAGTATTCTTGTATTATTTTATCTGTATAAAAAGAAATCTATTTTAGAAAAAGCAACTCTTTGAAAATTAAAAGTGCACGTTTTTTATTTTTGTTCAGTTAACCAGTTTATGGCGACATCCAGTGCAGTACACTTAAGAGTAGGCTATATATGTATTTATGCCTCCTCCTTCCTTTACTTAAACATAACATGAACACCATATATATGTTGAAATTGTATTTTATTGATCAAATAAATCTTGATCAACAATCCAAACATGTAGTAGAAACAAATCAAAATATAAAACCAAAATATTCCTAAACTACATGCAATTATACAGTTAACAAAATAAACAAATACAAAAGAATGTACAAAATCCAATTAGTACTTCAAAACCAAACACTTAAGAGTTTACTTTTTCATACAATGAACATAGCTAAGTTAAAAGTGGACTTTGAATCTGTCTTGAAAAACGGACAGACATACATACAAATTACACACATAAATACATATCCGTAAACATAAAAAGTAACAGGTATGGGACTAACAGATAAGTTAAAATGTAAATAATCAAATAATGGGCAAAGGTTATATGTATATATGTAGCGAGTTTATGATAAATATTTGTATTGTGTTTCGGAATTTGTCACCGCTGACGAATAAACAAACTTTTAAAACTCTTGGCTAGATCCGCCACTGTTAATCTCCACAAACCCTCTGTATACCTGTTTCGACACTTTTCCTCGCTCACCTCACCAGTTACACCCTAACGTTTGATCTCGAATTAATCCCAAATACTCCAAGTACTGGGATAAATAGAGAGAAAAAACGCCACCTCATCATGGTCAAAGTTTTGGAAAACTATTTTAAGCCGTCTGGAATGACTAATTACCCTTAAAATTACATAATATACGGGTGCATAGAGAATTAATGCTCAGAATTGGCCTCCATGATAACCTATTGAAAGCACACAAATATCTGTCTCCAAGATTGAGATCAATTTCTTCCCTCTGCATGAAAACCCCATGGTCATTTATCAGTCCTTGGTGCATGTTTGCAGAATATTTTTAGGTCTATTACAAGTAGTACAGGTAAGGAGATATTTCTGATATGTCGCTTTTAACACCTGTCTTGATAAGGTGATATTGGAGACTGCACAATGATTTTGCAAAATTGCTATGAAATAGAACATGTATTTTATTTTCAGTTCACAATTTGTACCTAACCATTGTTACTTTAAGACATTAGTAGATCGTTATATAGTAGCCATTTTAGATATATGAACTGTATGCCGATGAAAAATAGATTAGTGGACGCTGTATGTCCTATCAATAGCTGTAATAATGCATTTCTGATCTTTTATTTAACAAATTTTCTATTGTTCGGCATGAGAAAATAAATTTTAAAAAAATATTTGATTAAACTATTATTATTATACTCGGACGTTATGCAGGTAATAATGAAATATTATTAAATACATGTTATTAAAACTAACGACAGAGGCCTTAATTTGTCTCGTTTGTAATAGAGTTTATTTCTTAATGCCTGACAATCTTATAGATATAATCGATAAACATATGAAACAGATGTGACTTACTCTGAGCTAGAGGTTATTTTTTGTTTCGAGTTCATTTGAATATATATAACGAGTTTAAAATGAAAGTTAATCTTCTGGTTACAAATATAGTTTATGGTAACCGTTTGGGTTTTTCTTCTTTATTGCTATACAAAAACATTTTCGTTAATAAAGGAGCGCATTTAGTTCCCATCGAAATTCTATCCAACATTGTTGAAAGGTCTAGTCTCCGAAGAATATACAAAGATGTTGTCAACAAGGCAGTTTTAAAATCAACCTCGGAAAACATTTTTGTTATGTCAAAGCAAAAATAGGAAATATTTGCAGAACGCGTAAATACGAGTACATGTATCTTTTGCTTGTTAAAATTTGTTAATGTTGTAATTTGTAAAATGTGCTACCTGCATTAATATTGGTACATTTTCATTACATACCCAAACGTCCTCTTCTTAGGAAAAAAAGAATGTAAAGGATAAATTTTAACTAAATTAAAATCAAAATATATGGTCCTCTTCTTGCATGGAAAGGTTCGTTTCGTTTCTGGGGTATATCAGCAAGTTTTAGGGCCTATAATTCCTGAGTGAAGTATGTAGCACTAATTAACACTTCACAAAAAATAATGTTTATTCAAAAACTCACATTTAAATACAAAATCAAACCAAACATGTCGTTTTAAAATGCAGTGCTTATTCAACATTGCATTTAAATCAATAGAGAAAGTTACGTAACTAATAAACATTTCAACCTTTCTATTAAAGGGAAGCTCAAAATAACTCTGTAGTAAAGTAGTGACCGAACCCTAATTAAGTTATAGATTATATCTTCCTTTGTCACGGGTATCCCATGTGTGTATGAAGTTAACATTTGTTTAAACAGATGACTGTAAAAAATTAAATTAAACATTTCAAAGTGATTTCTTAAACCACGTAATCTCTTTTGAGAGTTTTTTTCCGATAAGGTAAATCCCTACGTTTTTTATCTTGATTTACAATGTAATATCGTTTTTTTTTATTGCGATTAAACACGTCTTACGTTCAATATCTATAAAAACTGTTGCTTTGTAATTTTTTAAATGCTTCACGGAAAAAAAAATGACTCAACACATGGTTTGAAAGTTCAAAGTCGTACGAAATATTAATGTAACCTTGAATATCTTGAAAATGCAAGAATGCACTCCTGTGTTTCATTTGAATGTAAAACCGCGGCATTTAGGAAAAATAACCAATTTCAAATATGCATTGTGTTTATTAACTACTTTTCTGTACGCAATAGGAATACAAAAATTAAACTTTGTTAGTCTTCTTCTGAATGGAATTCGCTTGTAAAGCATTTTTATTTAATGATAAATATTTTTACCTGCCTAGTTCTTCATAATGTAAGTTTTATTTTCTGATTCTTAGATATTTGTAGAGTCATCTTAAATAGTTT